CACTTTTTAATGGTGGAAAACTCAACTTTTACCTCTATTTTTCTAATTCTGATGATTTTTTATTATACGAGCAAGTCATTATTTGCCAACATTATTACCTTTAAAGTATGCATTAGTTCTTCACCGTCCACAGGTACGGTTTCATATAATTTAATCAAAAGAACTTGAATTCCTTTACGGCACCTTTGACAACCTTGATTCACTGGATTCATCCTCACCAGTCACCTCCCAAGTGGGACTCAGAGGTAAAGAAGATATAGTGATGAACTAAAATATCAAGTAAAATAATACTTGTGACTTGCAAATCTGCAGTCATGTAAACAGACAAAAGGTTTGTCAATTTATAAGAAAGGCCGATGCATTGATTTGAAATACTTTAATATTTTTTATCGGTTTCGATTACGTTGGAAGTCACCCTTTTGACCTAAAACAGAAATGAATGGATCTACACATTTAAATATTTATTAGTCAGACGAACAGCTGGTAGTGTGATAAATAGCTAATAATGGCTTTGGTCATGGATAGATTTATATAATATTTCATATAACCTTATAAATATTTTTCACATTTATTGTATCCTCCGAATTATCATAAAATATGTTTAAGGTTTTATTACAATATTACGATAAATGAAAAAGGATTTCCCTCTACATGTTTCGAGCCCTAACCTTGAGACAAACATAAATTTTTTTTTCAACAATAAAAGAGGCAAAAATATGAAGAAACTAAATTCTATTGTTCCTTGTATTAACAATCTGTTTTATCCACATCTGAGTGTCTCTTATTTTGTTCCTATGTATTCTTGTATTCATTTTCCCGTCTGTTTAATTCCATGTACCGTTCTTTAATATATTGTTTTAGGTAAATTGTGAATTACATTGCGTTCCATCTAAAAAAAAGTCCACATATTTACATTATATACAACCTCACATTTGCCAAGAGCATCACCCAGATTTCATATGTCTCTACTATACTACCCAAAATACACTACTACTACTGACAGTACTTTCAATTTAAACTTTCCACAAAAAAAAGCTTCTCTTTGTTTCTTTATCTCGCAGCAGCACTGAATCCTCCATCGAATTTCTTTCCTTCTTTATCTCCTCGTAGGCCACCTCCGCTGGTTTATACTTTCGTTCATGTAGCATCTGATTTCTAGCTTGCCATATCTTGTAGTATCCTGCTTCTATGACAGCATACACAAGTACACAACACCCTGCTTGAGTTATCCAATTTTGATTTTTATTCTTTGTACAAATTACATAAAAAAGTAAAAATTCAAACACGTTAATCATTTTGATACGGAGAGAATACTCTCATTCATATCTTTGGACTTTGCTTACGTAAAAACGATATCTATTAATCTTTCTAAGAAGCCATTTTTTTTTTATCATCCATGGTGCTGGAACAATGGTTCGAAGAACCTATTTCAACACCTTAGGAATTTGTTCAGGAAGGAGGCAAAAGCCAGCATTGCGATTCCCAAAACCAAGAATTAAAACTTGTTCGTTAAGAGAAACCTCTCAAAACTGGTTCTGAATTTGTGATAAACGTTGAAGCTGAGATGCACAAGATCCGTAGAAGCAGGGAGAGGACCCTTTCTCATCTTTCTCCTTTTCCGCTTTCTTCCTCTTCTTTTTTCCTTTTTTTTTTCCTTTTTTTTTTTAATTCAAATCCTTGCAATATTCATTCTCGCACATTGATTTCCTCTTTTCGTTCGAATTGAAAATACCTAAACTATTACATAAAAATTTACAATATCAAAGACAATACTACTATGACGAGCAAATTTCACGTGTGCACTTGTGCACTTTTTGTTTGAATTTACGGTACATCAAATTTTTAAAAAAAAATCCTTATCAATTTGAAATTAAAAAAAAAAATCCTTATCAAAAACCAAGATGCGGGACTTATGTCTTCGCCACTATGACAAGAGTTTGTTACAGTTCGTTTGATGGGTATTTTTGGGGTGATAAACTCGTAACATTTTTATCTCACAAATATAATTTTTATTTTTTTCATGATTAATATTGTTGGAAAATTCATATGTTTCTTGTTATTAGTAAGTAAAAGACCCATCTATGGTTTCCAAAAAAAAAAAAATGGATATTGCATTTTTTTTAAGGATTTACAATACAGTATATTACATTTTCTTTCTTCTCTATTTTTTTTTGTTTTTTTTTATAAATAAAAATGTGAAAACTTGTAAGCTCGTTTTCGCTAACCTTCGCACCCCTTAGCTCTACAATAAGTCAATAACTATCTAACTTTTTCATAACAAAGTCACAAAGTGTTGTGCATGATCCAATTAAAGGAAAGTATTGTAGAGTCGCAGAGATTCAAAACAAATATTGCCGTCCATTAGTTGTCTACTTCGAATTGACATATACATAGGATTGATATCTTCCACTATCACATTGAAGAACATGAACTACCTTTGTACAATTAAAGATTCGATAATAAATAAATCAAATAAAATGCTTTTCTTTTTTTTTTTTTTTGAAAAAAAACAAATAATCGAACCATCCCTTTGTGATCATAAGAAGTTCCATCCTAATTGTTAACCATCCGGGCTAACTCCCCCACCACAGTAAATAAAGTGCCTTTGGCAAGATGGAATATGGGCATAATTTATGAGTACGCAAATAACAAAATTAGAGACTTGCATCTCTTTTTCACTTATGCTATCCCTCCTTTTCTTAGCACTGAGGCAAGCAGAAAATTCCCCTTGAATTTAGAAACCGTACTAGCTTGTATTTACAATATAAAAAATGATTGTTAGTTGCAATCTTTTAAATTAATTAAATTATGAAATTTTTCTTCAAAACGGAAGAAAAGGAAGAAAGAATTTTAAAACAACTGCAATTACAGTACACGTCTACATGCAATTAACAACAAACATTAAAAGAAGGACAAAAAAAAAATCCTTCCCCTGGCAACCTTTTTGGTTTTCCTTGACGTCGTCCCTTTCCCTTGACGTACGTGGTTGATCGTATGATTGTATGTATAGTATAATAAAGTGAACATTTTATTATATCAACATTTGAATAATAAAATTTAACAAGTGAAAGGAGAATATTTGGATGTACTACTTAATATTTTTTCCGTCCCAATTTGATATCTTAATTTGTTGAATTAAAATAGTATAATAAATTTCTTCTTTTAAAATAATAAAGTGACCGGATGGTTGCAAATGTTGTTAGCTCAATTGGTTAAACAAAAGAAGGAAATACTACAATGACAAAGTCGTCGTCGAATCTTATGAAACTTTTGTGTCCGAACGCAAATCATACGACAAATGTCGCCTTTCTAAAGTTAATTACAAGGGAAATATGTATTGTAAAAATAGCCAGCATCAACACGATGCTAATTAATCATGTTCTCGATGGTAGATATTCTCAATAATAGAAATGAGAAAAAAACTAGATACCATCAACATGTATGCTTCCCCGATCAAATTGATTTATTGAATTTTTCAGCGCTTTACCTTCGTCAGTTGAATCACTTTGGATGTTACAGACACAAAGATTTAAATATAAAGGAGTCGATGGATCGATGAGATAATTCTGCAAATCGACCATTTTCTCTATTCAAGGCGTCTTAAATACTCCCTCAGGTCCTTATTATAAAATATTTTGATTTCTCTTAAATTTCACCTAGAATGTCTTTTGAAATGAAATAAAAATTTTAAAAACATTTCATAATATTGAGAAGAACACAAAGATTGTGAAAATATATTTTTAAATTTTTTTTACAATTAAAAAAATAAACTTGGTGAAACCTAAAATAAAATTAAAATGCCTTATAATAAGGACGGACAGAGTAATAAATATACTATGTCAAATATTTTGCATTAGTATCTTCAATCTCTTTTGATTGATGATTTGATATATAAGATTTTTAGGCATTTTTGTTCATAATTAATTGGTTTTGAGTGTAAACTCTTTTTTTTTTTTTTTTAACGAAGAGTATAAGAAATAATAATTTTAACTTACGGAATTTGTTTTCTTTTCTTCATAATGTAAAAGGTAAGTAGTATTTGCTTTTTAGAAACTTCAAACTGAAAGTTAATTAGGATTTTTCTCATCGTATGTATTCGATGATTCGATCAAAATTTTACGTTTAGTTCTAGGATGGACCGATTCTTTGTCATGGCTCTTTCGTCATGAAACAAAATGGGAAACCAAAAAAGAAAGAAAAAAGTGTATAATAATAAAACAGATTCTATTTTTTAACGTGCAAGTAATTAAAGGGACCAGCATCATCAGAGGCCAAACGACATGGACCTTGATGAGTATATTTAATCCATGAAATTGTAAAAAGAATGAATATTTTACAGCGGTATATTTCATTCCATTTTTAGCTAGAAATATGTTTTAGCAAATGGATGATTAACAGTTCAATTTTTTTTTTCTATTGAGTGGTAACAATTAATTTTGTAGATACAGTACATACAAAAATACATACAAGTTATTTTCAAACTGAAAAAAATAACTGATTAGCTTCAATTCATATTCAAAAAATCTATATACTTAAATACGATATTCAAAAATCTAAACATTTACATTTATGTTTCAACGAATATAGTCGTAAATTACAAAAGACTGTCAAAATATAAAAGAAATGGTATCCTATGATGATAAATATCTCGTCGATTTGAATTGAATTTTTATTTTTTTAGTTAATTAAAAATTAAATTTAAATATAATTATTTTAAGACAGATAAAGTAATATCGTATGATAAATATGACAACTTTTTATTTTGTAGTAACAAAATAAGCACTTGGATTTTCGAAAAAGAAAAAGATAAGCATTAGATTTTTTTTTTTTCAAATTTGCAAACTGTGACCACCCTGTATTAGTTGGCCGATTATTCCACTCTTTTCTCATCACCGCCGCCCGCCGCTAAAATTTATTCACTAGATTTGGCAAAATATAGGAGTAATTAATACTAGTTAAAAAGAGGTGTATCATAACAGTCCATGGGCTTGACATCATCTGATTCCACCCTTTTATATTCCTTGTTCTTTCCAAAAACATTTAGCAAAAATTTGCTGCAAAAACAACACCACCTGAACCAATTTTAGCTCAAAAATCACATCAAAGCAACAGCAGGGTATTTCCTAGTTTACATTCTTACCCTTCTTTGTTTCACCATATTTCCCATATGTACCTCAGCTCACAAAATGCAGCTTCTTGTCCTCTAATATGATCTCAACTTCTAAAGCAAAGACCCTTTTGGAAGAACTGCAAGATTCCCATTAATTTTTGCTGTATTTACTGAAGCTTATTACTTGTCGGTCTTGTTGAAGCCTGACTGCAATTTTATGGTGCTTGTGCTCTGCTATTGTTATTATCAATGGTATGTATGCTAAACTGGGCTCAATCTTTTGATGAATATTGAAATTGTTGTCGATTGTTTGAGATGGGCAGTTTGGATACTTTGTTGGGTGGTTTGAGAACTGCCCAGGATGCGCTTTTAGATGTTCTGAATCTTGGAAAGTTGAAGACTAAGTGGTTACTCAAGAGTTGGCTTTTTCAGTCATTTAATGGGCTTGTTGTGATTAGTTCATTGCTGTTCTTCCTTGGAGCTATTTTTTCGGCATATTTTTACGTTTTTCCAGCTTATCAGCCGGTGACTGTGATTGTTGATAATGAGGATGTCTTTACTAGTGATATTGGTATGATACCCTTGAGTAATAATGAAACCATTGATGATATAAATACAGAATGCAATGTGTTTGATGGAAGATGGGTGTCTGATGAAAGCTATCCTTTGTATAATGGATCACAATGTCCTTTTACTGAACGTGGATTTAACTGTTTAGCTAATGGTAGGCGAGATCAAGAATATCTTAGGTGGAGATGGCAACCTAAAAGTTGTGATATTCCGAGGTTTGATGCGAATGTGATGTTGGAATGGCTTCGGGGGAAAAGGGTTGTCTTTGTTGGAGATTCATTGAGTAGAACTCAGTGGGAGTCAATGATATGTATGCTGATGACAGGAATTGATGATCCGAGAAGCGTGTATGAGATCAATGGGCATAGGATTACCAGACGGATCCGTCATTTGGCAGTTCGGTTTAGCTCGTTTAATTTCACAGTGGAGTTCTACAGATCAATTTTCCTTGTGCAGCCTGGCCAGAGACCAAAACGGGCTCCAAAGAGGGTTAAAACAGCTGTTCAACTAGATATGTTGGATGATATTAGTGACGAATGGGTTCATTCCGATATTCTTGTCTTTAATACGGGGCATTGGTGGACTCCCACAAAGCTCTTTGACATGTAAGTTAGTGGTCCTTTTTATCTCAATGTTTAATGTGCTAATCTTAGCTTTGTTTGTGATTCTTCCCTTACTTTTGGGTGATAAAAGTCCATAGAAGCGCATTGTGAATTTGTGGCAATTCGCTGCTGCTGTTATTGCTGTTGTTTTTCCCCCAATCCTATGTGGTACGAGATTTCTCTATTAGCATTCAACTGTTCTGTTCCTTAAACACTTGATAAGTATATGGTGCTGATTTGATGAGCAATTATATGTATGATCACTAAGCTTATTGGCCTTCATTGCTTATTATCCCTGGTAAAATGACAGTTTAAGTCATGACCCCTAGAGAGTAAAGCTCTGTTTTTGTATCTGGCAAAATGTTTTTTGTCAGCTCATGCATTTTTTGTTGTTACTTTTCTGAGCTACCTGGTTATTAATAATAGTTTTTTGTGGTTGATATGTCTCCTTCGGGATCTTTGGTTCTTCCTACTTGGTAATTCGTAGGTTTTGAATTGTCTGTTTCTTTTTCATTTTTTTTTATTTCTGATTGAGTGACATAGGAAATGATCTTGATATTCTAAAAGATTTGCCCAATCTTATCAACTATAAACATTCCCTGCGAGCAGCATGCATCTGATGTGTAGTTTTTAGACAGGGGCTGGTATTTCCAGGTTGGAGGAAAAATGAAGCTTGGAATGTCAATACCTGAGGCCTTTAACAAAGCTCTTGCCACTTGGAAATCTTGGATTGAGAGTAACATCAATACTAGCAGAACTCGTGTATTTTTTCGGACCTTTGAAGCCACTCACTGGGGGTATGTTCTGTGCTTATGTGATGGAACTAATCTAGTAAAGTTCCCTTTTGATGTTTACCGGCTTAGTAGTTGCTTGAGCATTATGTTTTTTCATTTGAGCGGCCAAATTAAGTTTTAGAGTTTTTCTGTTCTTAATGTTTGAGCAATTACTTCTATCACGGATGTATTATTGATGTTGGCGGGCATGCTTGCTGTGAGTTTGAAATTTGATTACTTAGTGCTTTTGCCCTCTCGAACTGTGACATTTTAACTGACTTATGCCGATGCTTGATTCTGTAGGGGTGTTGAGTCTCGAAAGAATTGTGAAGTAACACGGCAGCCTATGTCAAGAATTGACGGCATGGACAAGCACCCCTATTCTGATGCCATAATTCGTATTACAAAAAATGTTTCAGTTCCTGTAACAGTGCTGCATGTTACCCCCATGGGGGCTTTCCGAAGTGATGCACATGTAGGAACTTGGAGCGATAATCCACGAATACGTGATTGTAGTCATTGGTGCTTGCCAGGTGTACCGGACATGTGGAATGAACTTCTCTTCTCGAATCTACTTTCATATCAAAGACCTTAAATTACAGATTGGAAATTCAGTAAGTTGCTTTGTCTTGGTCATCTCTTGCATCTGCACATATATGAGCTGCTGCAGTTAAAAGCCTTTTGTATTCTGCTGCTTCAAGGATATCTTGATTACAAATTAATCCATTTATATGCTTCCTTGAACAGATTTTAAAAATGTGCATATATTTTCGGCCTGAGAAATGTCTCTCTTCTTTGAGTTACAACAAAGGAAACAGAAAGCATCACTGTACAATGGATTCGACCATTAGAATTCTTTTCACATTGTGTAAATGTTAAGGTATACAATTATACAAGTGACTTAGTTGAAAAAGTTCCCCTGAAAAGTTTTACATGTAAACAAAGGACGGGGACTTTTCTGAATAATGATGTGGTGTATATGAAATTTTTAATGAATTTGCTTACATACCATTTTTGGTTCAACTTCATTAACTCAGCAGAAAGAATGGAAATGCAGTTTTACTCTATTGTAGAATTGTATGATCTAATAGACCGAGTGGTCGATTTTTCACACAAGAAGAAACGCCGTGATGAAGCTTGGCGGTTTCGTTTGATAATTACGTTGCTAGTTGCGATGTTGCATAATATCCCCCTTTGCCTAAACAACCTTGCACACCTATAGGGTTTGCGCTTTTGACTTAGATCTCTTCTGAACCTTTAAGTTGTATTTTCCGGTTCTTATTATAAAGCATTTTGATTTGTTTTAAGCTAGCTCATCTATTATGTTTTCTCGATTGAAACGAGAATTTTAAAAATACGTTTTCACATTCATTATGTTCTTTTAATTATTAAGAAATATTTTTAAGATTTTTTTCCTAATTAAAATAATATAATAGGTGAAACATACGACAAATTAAAATATCTAATAATAAGGACATGGGGAGTAATAACTTAGGAAATGGAAGCAAACCATTTAGCCCAGGCTCCCAGCTGGTTAGCAGTACAGTAAATGATGCAGGATGACCAAAAATCTGGAGATACATATGATGATGATTATCTGTTCTCTAATCCTTCAAGGCTTCAACGATCAAAACCAAAATTCAACGAAGCATTTACATCGTAAAAAATACACACATACCTTCACATACCTTCTCTTTTGTAAACTCATAACGTATGGATGGAATTTCTTAAACAAATGAAATTGTCAACTGATAAGAATCAGTTACATATATGATCACCCTTACCTCATTCATTCGATATCAAGATAAATAAAGTCTATCAAGTATCGACTAAATCTAAAAGTGATTGAGCACTTGTCACCGGTGCTAGGATTTTAAATTGGGGGTGTGAAATAAAATCAAGAGAACAAGTGTATTAATTTTTTTTAAAGAAAAAAATATAAAAAAATTAGTTTATATTTTTTTTCTCATTCAAAAAATTACAACAAAATATTTATTAGATAAGGACAAAAGGCCTCGAGTTACGTCACAAAGACTAATATCTCTTCAAGTTTTTCTATAAAGACAAAAATTCTCCTTAAATTACGTTCAAATGGATAATTTAACCCTCCATTAATGGAATAGTGATTGTTAGTGCAGTAAAATGATAACTTTATCCTTTTAAGATTATTATTATTATTATTATTATTATTATTATTATTATTATTTTGAAAAATGATAAAGACTCTAGGCTATGCACAAATTCTGCATCCCCGCTTACATTAAATTAGAAAATTATAACCCTTTTGAACAAATTTAATAATAATTATAGTATTCTTTGGTTTTGTTTCAACCCACAATTTCAGAAAATACTTATAATTTCCGCTAATACTCTTTTATTAGACAACAAATCTCTATAATTTGTTTAACTCATAGTGAAAACTCGTAGTGTTATAAATCTCCTATTTAAAATTTTGAATTTTCATTATATTTTTATGAATATATGAACTAATTATTCTAGTTATAGACACTGAAACGATATTGTGATTACTTAGTATTAGGGTATATAAATAGCTCATAGTGTTTTTTGTCTTTCTACTTTAAAATTATAAACAACTTTGGAGTATAATTATAAATTCAATTTACGAATTTTTCTATTTAAAATATAGTCATAACCATCTTGGTTTTTAGTCATTTTAACATCCATGGACTATTGACTTCAAACTTATAACAGTCAACGGGAGATTTTTATCCTTGTAAAAAACCCCGAGGAGAGATTAGTCTTTAGGACGTAACTCGGGGGGCCTTTTGCCTTTATTCCATATAATCATTTTATCAATATTTTACACATTTTTACTACTAGAATTTATAACAATATGTAGTTCAAATTTATTTTTTAAGATATGTATTTTTATGAGAATTTTAGAACAAAATGTTCTAAATTTGAAAAGGTTTATATATAAGGAAAAAAACATGATTCTTTCTATTACATCAAAACCACTCCAGGGAAAAAAACAAAAAAAAAAATAAAATATAGTTATTTGAAATTTCACATGGCATAAGAAAATCTGACTATTTTCATATTTTTAGTTTTTAAATTGACTCTTTAGCATATTAAACTCTGATTTTGACTTTTATTTTTGTGCAAATTCGGACCTTATTTGATCAGATGGATGTTTTATTATTTATTTGGGACACAATCTCTTATTAGCAAATGGATATTTACATTTCATTCAGAAAATACAAAATTAATACTTTTCTTTTGGTAAAGCTTTGCTATTTCATATATTTTTGTTGAAAATTTATATACATTTGTATGTAAATTGACTAAAACATTTTTAACTATTATAGTAAAATTTTTAGAAGGGTGCAAAAGTAAACAAACTACATATATATTTTTAAATAATTATAACATAGCCATTTAAAAAAATTAAAAACAGAGGGAATGCGGCCGCACCGACTTGCCATCCCTGCCCCCGCCACTATTACTTGTAGATAAGAGTTTACAACTGTATCCTTTCATTCCATTTCATAGTGTTAAAAAACTGTTTAATAAATTAATTGATTTTAGATGCGGAATTTGGAAGTTCGGGGCGAGTTTTATCTCCACAATCCATGTAATCTCCTGCAGATTTGTAAATGAAAAACCGTATTTCTCAAACTAGAAATCAACCTGGATTAACCTTATTGTTTCGTCAGCACATAGCCAGACGAATAATGGCAATGTATATTCCCTTCTATCCCAGCTTGAAGAAAGACAAATTAATGTGGAATCATGCCTCCTACGGGGAAGTAAACGGTGAAATCTAGTACAACAAGGCTCTAATGTTAGGGAGGCATACAGAGCTTCAATAAGTGCAAGTTCACAAAATATTTCAGCTGTAGCTTGGAAGAAGTTCCGGCATCTCCGCCTACCAGCCAAAATTCAATTGTTCTTGTGAAGAGCGATTACTAATGCATTAGTAACGTTGTCAGCCTTGAATAGAAGAGTGTGTTCAACTTGCACCAGGTTGTCCAAGATTTTGGGAAGACAAAGAGACTATGCATCATCTTTTTTTAACCTGTGATTCGTCAAAGTTATTTGGCATTCCTCAAGTTTAGGGCAGCATTTTGATCAAGGCTCGAATACAAACTTCTCCTATTGGACTCAAGAATGGTTGATGAGGGTTCCAGATCTTGAGCCAATTCAGTTTTCCTTCTTTATTTGCTGAGAGATTTGGGCTAACAGGAATAATTGTGTTTTGGCAACAACAATCTTCTCCTATAGAAGTGCAATCAAAGGCGCCATGACAATATTTATGAATCTTTGTGGCAGGTCAGACATCTTATCAACCAACCCCAACAAGCAAGACTACTCAACAATCCCAACTTGGTGGTTAACTTTAATTGATTTCTTGGTGCGGGTTGATGACGCTTTTGCAGAATCAGAGACTAAAGGGGCGGCAACTTTGGAGATTCTCATTTATGGTTCATGTAACTTTTATTTATTTTTAGCCTTACAAGCAGAAGCTATAGCATGCTTTAAAGGTTTAAGGCAGCAGTGGAACTTGGCTTGTCTAGCTTTGCACTTCAGATGGACAACTAGACATTGGTTAGCCATGCAACACAATCTCAAAAATTTCCTTCTACTTTACTAAGCTTAGCAAAGGATATTGGTGTTTTAAAGAATAGCTTTACTTGTGTTTCTTGAGAAAGTAGAGAGGGTTATTGTTGAAAATGCTCATAGGCTAGCTAGAGCTAGTTTGTTGTCATGTAATTGTAACATTTGCTTCGTTTATAAGGAAATCATATCCTTCTAAATATATATATATACATATATTATATATATATATATATCATCCATTGACCCCTTACTAATTAAAAGCAAGGATCACTCTTGTTTTTAAGTTTCAGCCAGAATTTTTTTGGGTAAGTAGTCCACATTATAAAACATTACACTCATTTCATAAATCTCATTCGAAATTATTTCAAATTGGTCCATTGTTAAATGAGATTGAACACTGAGAACTCCCATCCTTTTCGTCCACAAGGAGATAGACATGTGAGTAATCACGAGTGAGGCCTCGTTTTAGAAACTTACTACGTGTAAGTCAGACAATTAATAAAACTCCAAAAACATAAAAATCAATTGAGAAATTCAACTTTCATCATACTATTTCTACATTTTTCTGATTTTTTATGCATAACTCTAGGCCATTTGATGTGGTTATCGAATGTCTGAATCTACTTAATGATGGAGAGGTTCAAATGTTCATGAAAAACAATACTCTCCACAGTCTAATCACCTTTTACGTATTTGTGATCTTCACTTGAACAAAGTTTGGAGTTTTCAAGGGTGAGCTAACTTTGGGAAAAATAAATAATCAAACAAAAATACGAACAACGCAAATTTGAAGAAATTTAAGAATATAATATAAAAAGAAAAAAGAGACATCGGCTGAAAACAAAAAACCGACATTGGCTGAATGAGCCAGTATTCACATTTTTTTAATCTTTATTTAGAAAATTTACAATTTTTTAATAGTGAAAAATATATGACATGATGAGACATTTGTTTATCCTTTTATGTGGGAATAATTCATTGGAATTAAAAAATATAAGCGTGTGTGTGTTTCTCTGTGTGTGTGTCTATATATATACATACACATATACATATATATATATATATACATACACACACACATATACATATATATATATATATATATATATATATATATATAAACACATACACACATATGGATCTTTTTGTGACTACTAACTAACACCTCCATTTTCACTATTCATTTTGTGGGCTAACTAAGCACCAGACTAGCTCGTGCCAGGACTCAAGTGTATATTATAACTCTTATAATTAAAATTATAATTATATGATTCAATTTAATAAAATGTCCTATCAGAATCTTGCTAACAATTGAAATGAAAAACAAGAGTTTTTGGATTCAAATTTAATCACAACCATGTTTCAATTACAACTAGTCTCCACACAAAATCCATAACTCTAGAACTAGGTATGCATCAGAGCACCACCATTAGATCCCTTTACAACTTAGTTTGGCCAACCTTCCATTTTGCATTTTGTCTCATTTTACCTCTTAAACACAAAACCCAATGGAAAAAAAAATATCATCCAAACAAATTTCTGATTTACATTTTAAATTCCAACTTGAAACACTTTTTGTTAGTGTAATGACCATTTTAGAACTACAAATAGTTCAGTGATAAATTTGGCAGGATTCCGTTGTTGAGTGATTGTTTTTGGAAAAGTTCTTTTTTGCAGTGACTATAATTGATAGTATTTAATTGTTTAGTGATGACTTGTACTTGATATTTCAAAATATAGTTCAAAATACTATTTTTCAAAACCAACATCCAAACAACATTTTTATTTCCCATTTAGTTTTCAATTTGAAACACTTTCCACTTTTAAGTGGCAAAATGAAATGTAAGTTGACGTTCAAACAAGCACTGAGCTACTGCCCAGTGAGATCCTAATATAGACCTTAATATCATTTCAAGTCTGCAACGACCAGTTACAAGTAGATCATAATGAGATACGTAGGAGAACATTTACAGATTAATTGATTGCAGCTACAGATGACCATAACAAACGTCATCACACAATCAGAATAAGGATAGGGTGGATGATGAAGGATGGAATAAATATAAATTAGGGTTTTAATTTCTTTGTCCAGGGATATTTTTGTCATTTTAGTTTAGTTGATTAGATTTTATTTCTTTTGTTTTCTATTTAAGACTTTACCTGTCATTGTAAACTTCAGTTGATTTTTATAAAAGTTAAGATTTCATCTCTTTTGCCAAATTTCCTGGTCCATGTATTGGTGGGATTTTTCATGCTAACAACGGGTATTCGTGCGTCGAATCAACGGTGTTTAAGAGGGTATTCGTAGAATCAACGGATCTACGACGCATACTAATTAGGTTTCGAGATTGAGGCTTCCGCTGACTACATCAGTTGGCATCAGAGACGAGTTTGTTCCTGGTGATTCATCAATGTCATGAGTAATTCTCGATTTTGGTTTTGCCGACTGGTTGTTTACCGGACTCATTCTTGGTTCATTTTGGTTCAATTAATTTTGTTATTGGCATGTGCGACTACATTGGTGTAGAGCTATTGTTCCCGTCTTGTGGGGTAAAATTGGTTTGTTCGATTTAATCGTAGTAGTTTTGATATTTCTTCGGTTTTTTTTTGAATTGGATAGAGCTGATTGTATTATCAGTTGAAAACTTGATCAATTACAATAATTTATCTACTGATTCTTGTGTTGTTCCCTAGTACGGCCAAGTGGAGTTGGTCATTTTAATCAATCATTTTCACTGAGAGAAGTGGCTAGAAACTTGCAATTATTGGCTGGTGCGTGGGTTTTCTCATTGAATTTGTGAGTGATTTGTGCAAGGGTTTGTTCGGCCGATTGAACTCAAAGCAAATTAATCAATTACCGGCTATTCCAGAATTTTGATTGCCAATTTGTTTATTATTGGGTCCTGATGCCTCCACGACGTAAGTCGCAGCACCAGGAAGCAATCCTTCAATCCAAGAAGCAAGTCAGGCAGCAGAAAAGCTGGCTGAAGGGGGAACCGTCGTGCCATTGCAGAACTTATAATGTTGATAAACATCCACATCAATGCTGCCACAAAGTGGGATTCGGAAAATGTCCAGTGCGTCGATACAAGGAGAATAGATTGTGTGCAGAGACACATCACCACAATCGGACTAGGGAAAATGTTGATGCGAAGGAAGATTCCCAACTTGGATGGGGCTGCTACACCTAGTGAGTTCCTTGATTGGTTGGCAATGGTGGAGCACATTCTTCAGTGCACGAGACTCCCGAGTGATGAAGAAGTAAAGTTTGTTGCAAAGAGCTTCCAGAATCGGGTATCGCCTTGGTGGCGACAGTTGAATTGATCCGTAGACGCTAGGCAAGTCAAAGATTAAATCATGGAAGAAGATGAAACGATGTTTGCGAGCTAAGTTTGTTCCGTTTAACTACCCATGGCCAAAGTATAGGCGGATTCAGAAATTGCAATTAGGCAAGCTCTTAGTTGATGAGAATCCCCGATGCCTTCGTTATCCTAAAGCTCGACAAAGTCGACTGCTTAAGGGAGATAGATCCATTGTTATGAAGTTCGACTACTATCCAGCTATATACAATAATCAACCATGGAATCAAAAAAAAAAAAAAAAGGCAGTAGCATCGCAAGTGGAAGCTGCTGGTTCCTTTCTCAATGCGGCATGTGATGAGATTGCTAATGATGAGTCCTCACTTGTCGAGGAAGCTGATGTTAATCAGGATTCATCATGGTGCAACGAGCAGTCTATATTGAGTGCCATTGATAAGGACGCTGTACATGATTTCTCTTCTCACGAAGACTATGTTTTTGAGGAGGAGACACAATGTTGTAGGCCTTTGGAGACGGGAGATGAACGACTATTTCTTCACCGGGGCGAGTGTTTTCTTCTTGCAAGGGTTCACGATTGTTGGGGAAGGAACGCTGTCGATTGGAGCATGCCACCTATATATGATGTGTATCAAGAGGACGATGTTACAGGTATCACATATTTTCTGCCATTCGACGGGGTTTATGTTAATCGGGTTGAAGCCGATTTTTGTAATGCACCATTAGTTGATTTTTCATCACATACAGAGGCGATGACTGTTGATTTAGTTGATAATGAATATACCACGGCTGGAAAGTCAATAATGGAACGCGCCACCAATAGTTTTTTTGGTGTCCACCATTTACAAATTGGTGCATCATGTGGGTCAACCTTCGGATGTGATGATACTATAATAAATAGTTCTAATTTAGACTTTTCATATCATGATGGTGGAAGAGAGGATTCAGAAGTTGATGATAGTAATTATGGTGATGATGATTATGATTATTTGCAAATGCAAGCCCAGTTCGATAATGTGGATTTGCCACTTGGAGTAGAGGCCTCATTTTCTTGGCTCCAGTCATCTGCCGCGAGTTTGGATAGTATTACTTCTTTGAATATGGTAGCACAGGTTGATGTTACGATTTCTTGTGCGGCACCGTCCATCTCTTGTGTCGACAGTGCTCTCCCCCTCACAATGATAAGCATGGGGTATTCATTTCCTTTCTCTGCATTGTCTCTTTGCCATGAGGTATCCAAGTCTTTTTCGCAAATTCATGACTTCCCTATTATGCAACATGGCGATCTCTTTCCATTACTGTCAGATCATGATGCTTCACATTGAATCTTTTGCTTCTCTTTTCGTCCACTCTCACGATGGTGCATCCCTGGCCCACAATATTTATGATTCAACACCTTGGTCGATCCAGTTTTTGATGATCCTACTCAGCATTCCCTTTGATCGTGGCAAACTACCTCCACTTAAACTCGAGGACCAGTTTTTCCAACCCCGGGAGAAGGACGAAGGACTGAATAAATATAGATTAGGGTTTTAATTTCTTTGTCCAATGATATTTTTGTCATTTTAGTTTAGTTGATTAGAGTTTATTTCTTTCGTTTTCTATTTAAGACCTTAGCCGTCATTGTAAACTTCAGTTGTTGATTTTTATAAAAGTTGAAATTTCATCTCTTTTGCCAAATTTCCTGGTCCATGTATTGGTGGGATTTTTGATACACTTAACAACGGGCATTCATGTGTTGAATCAACGGTGTTTAGGAGGGTTGTATTTCTGGGTATTCGTAGAATCAACGGATCTACGACAGTTACTAATTAGGTTTCGAGATTGAGGCTTCCGCTGACTACATCAGTGGACCTCTTTTCAAAAGTCGTCAAAGGCCTAGAGGACACATTTAGCGAGTTTCAAGAAAAGATTCAAGCATTCATGTGAACATGAGTAAGAGCACATTTACAAGTAACCTTTATCCCCCGCTTATGGCTGCAATGGTATCTCAAATATACTAACATGCATGAACACTCGGGAAAAAAAAAAAAAAAAAATCCAAAACTGGCTCGTATGTTATACCTTCTCTAGGATAGGGCATAATAATGTAACACAAATTATTTCACAATAGGGCAAGCACATATTTTATCTCCCCGTGTAGTAAAGTACACAACTGAATCTCAATCTTTCTATTATGAAGCATGTTTCAGTCAATCACAAACAAATATTATCATTTCACGAAGAGGCAAACAAGATAGTCAAACATGTAGGCATATTTGATTTTATTTTTTATTTTTTATTTTTTATTATTATTTTTTTACATGTAGGCATGTAATATATAACACATTCCAAACCACAGAACCAGGAACTCACCTCGAACAATATAACATCCACTGTAAATTATACTAACATCTTCGGTTTCAATGTAAGTGATATTTTGATTCCCTAATAGCATTTTAGAATAGTTATTAAATCAATTAACATTCATACAACATCTGTTAAGGTCAAAGGACCATGGGTAATTTAATTAAAGTTATAAGCTTTCAAGAAAACTCTTTGAGTTCCTACAGAAATCCCCAGATTAAATAAAAGGCTTTAAGAGTCTTGCACCTTTTTTTTTAATTAAAAGGTTGGAATGTCATTCAGGTCCCAACTAACATAAAGATACTCAAGGGGTATAAGAGATATGATTTATGTAAGCCAGTGCTAGTTAGCACAATGCAGCACAATGCACCAAAGGGGTATACCCAAGGGATGGACATATATACTAACTAGTTCCCTAGTTTCACTCCACCTGATTTTATTGCACTTTAAGAATTAAACGCGCCAAAGGCAGCATATAATCTAACCCCTAGCTATTACAAACTCTTAAACTACAGGAACTATTCCAGCCTAACCTGCAAGTAAGGAAAAGATAATTGATCTAGAAGTACAAGACCCTTAACATGTCTAGGCAATCCTTCCAAACTATTGTATGTTTCCGAGAGGTCAAGTGATGCTTGTCCTGCCAAGCTGTCCGCCACCGCATTAGCTTCTCTATATATGCATGATATCTCATAACCCCTCCTATCCATTATCAAATGAATCTCCATTCTCTAAAAGTAGAATTTCCAAGGGATTGACTTCAAAGAGCCAAGTAAATCCGCCAAAGCCTTGTTATTCGTTTGTATGTCGACCAGCTCCGGGTTTAGTTGATCACATTTTCTAACCCCAAACAATAGTCCATCAAAGTTTAAGAGTCTTACACCTTAATCCATTAAGTGTCATTACAAAAACAGGAACCACATAATTCCTTGAATTAGCTAGCTCTAGCTTCAGGTCATTTTCCTAACCAAATCAAAGTTTAAAAATCCTAATCGATCAACAAAAAAAATACAAGCAAAATCATTTACTGAGTTTCCTTGGTAGTACCATGTCTAATTGTTTTCTTTCACATTCCTCCCTAATATTCTTTTTCTATTTGCAGTTCAATTTATTATGCATGACTATATCCATGACCTCTTAGTTTCAACTCACCGTGGAATCTGTTCTATCTAATTCAAACATCAAGTTCCATAAATTAAAAGTGGAGAAGTAGAACTAGTTACTTATTTCGAAGATTTACAAGCCAATTTTAAGGTTATTTAGATAATCTTAAAAGTCTCAGTTTCCCTTCCACCTTTGTTTTGCTTCTGCTTTCTCTTAATTTATTGTGGGCCAGTAAATTTTAAAGGGTGAAACTTTCGGCTCAACAGAAGGTCGCGTGATAGAGTTGCGATCTTTGGTGGCTGAGAAAGGAATAGATACAGAGGTCGGTGGTGCTAATTGAGTAAAAGAGTAAAACAAATTAAATTGGCAGGTGACAAAGTATAACAAAAGATAATTGGGATGATGATGAAGCCTTTTTTTCATTTGTTTATGTTGTAAAATGGGTAGTTTAGGAGAAAATATTCCATACTTCCAATGTACCACATCAGCCATACTTATGTGGTACAACCATCGAGTAAGACCTAGACACATGGGTCTGTTTGACCTTAATTTTGGGTGAATTACCACACTTCGTTACTTCTTCAACAATTTAATCTCTAAATATTCCCGTTCTTACATAAAAACATGGGATGTAGTTTGAAATCTGGCTACGATGAAGTCTTAATTTAATAGTAATTGTATCCAGAACGAGAAAAAGATGATATTCATATAAAAATTGATTCTCGTTCTTCAATAACAATTTAACAATAACATATTGTTTTTTCATATGAAAATCAAAGCTTTCTTGTTAATCAACTCTCACAAACAAAAGGTGGGTGAAGAATGAGTAATAGAGGCAGTAACACGGTACAATTTAACTAGAAATAATAGGGTAAATTAGATTGTTATTTGATAAATCCTCTAAAAGTAAGCTCCAGAATACATGATGGTCTGATGGTCTTCTTCAAATATTTTGTGCATGATGACTTCTAGTAATAACCTGGATGAGTTGCAATCGTTTTCAATTTGTATTCTTTTACCCTGTAAGATGTCATTCAGTTTTTTTGGATTGAAAAATTGATAATCAAATGAGGGGGGAGGGGGTCGCAATATTTAAACATGGTCGTACCCATATACATGGATGAAGGGTTTGTCTCCATACATGTAATTGAATGGCTAGATTGAAAGGTTTGTCTACGTACATGTAAATTGAATATTATGCATGTGTTTTTTTCTTGAATCATCAATCGAAACATGAATGTATGAAGTATTGTATTTTATTTGAAATTTCACAAGATTGGTGCATTTAGTGTGAAAAAAATACTGTGTTTGCCTTGTTTTTATTGAAAAAATTAAGTTGGTTTACATGTCCACATCACCAGGGACGAACTTACGAATATAATTAGATACAACTAAAGTCCCTAACGAAAAACAGTTTGTGTATAAGAAAACTTATTCGAGTATTTATCCCTACAAAAGAGCACCTCGAGAGCGGATTAGCTGCGTCTACCAACACCCAACTCTGCCTGGGCTTATTTTTTTATAATCACAATTTGGTTAACTAATTTTGCTTTGTTAACCAAATAATTTTCTAAACCTTTTGTTGCACCATGTTTCTGAAGGAAACCAGTCTAATTCACATCTTTCTTCCTCTCAATCCCTCCAATAAATCTTACATGTTTTTTTTTAAGGCAACCCCTATGTTTTTAAGCCTTAATCCCTTTTAAATTTAAAAACAATATCTTTTTTTAAATTTGTTGATTCGGAGTTTAAGTATGGCAAATTAAACCAATTTTCTACTATATATTTTTTTAATTGTATTCTTATTTTGTAATTTTTTTTATTTTGCATTTTTATTTTTTGAATTGTTGAATCTAGGACGATCTAACTGAGGTAAAAATATAGTTGAACTTAGATTAATGAGATTCATTCAATTAGTCGATTAGTTACACAAACACATACACATGTATACATACACGCATACATATATATATGTATATATAAACATATATATATATATGTATTAGTCGATTATACATATATATATATATATATGTTTGTATGTATATGTGTGTCTATATATTTGTGTAAATATATATATATATATATATATATATGTAGTCAATTACAAATATATATATGTGTGTGTGTGTATGTTTATATATATAATATTAATCCATTATTATATGTGCATGTATATATATATAAATAATATTAATCCATTATTATATGTGCATGTATATATATAAATTGTGCTGTGTGGACTTTGTTAACAATTAAAAATTGTTCTTTTTTCATGCATATTTTTTTGAGGTTAAATAAGTTGTTATTAATTGTGATGTCTTCTATCTACTTTGTAGTCCATAACTTCATATAAAGTTCTATATTTTGGTTTTGAAGGAAGAGGGCATTCTACGCCACATTGGTTGAGGGATGAATGTTCTTTTTCCAGGTATTTGAAATAGAATGATAGCGGGTGTAGCTTGTCTTATTTGGGAAATTACTATTGTCAAATATGTTAATTTGCTTTAGAAAAAACTACATCAAGCCAGTGCATTTTCTGAGTGATGCAAAGATTTATTTATTTATTTATTTAAAGCGTGTGGCTTATTCATCTGCAACTAATTTGTGTCTCTTCTATGTTTTGTTTATAATTTAGTGTGACATTGTTATATCCTCAATCAATCAAGTTCTTGTATTGATATGTTTTCTTTTTATTTATAAGGGAACTCTTACCGTCCAAATGGAAACATATGGCATTGGTTTCAATGGCAAAATTTTGATAATATTGATTCTTTTTCAGTTTCCTTTCTTGTGCTTTGAGGAGTACATATTGTATTGTTACTTGTGTAGCAAACAAGAGAAAATCTATAGTGTGTAAATGAACAGCTGCTTAAAAAGGTTGAGATGGAAATTGACTTTTGATTATCTCATTTCTCAATCATATTTATAATAATAACATGTTGCATTATATGCTTATTTATTGTTGCTAATTTTTACTAAAGAAAACATGGACCACTAAAATATCAAAAACTTGAGAGGAAATTAATAACTGGATGACATAAGATATACCTCTTTTTTGTCATTACCAACGGATCCTAAATTTTTTTTCTAGTAAGAAAAACGTGGAAAACAAAAATATCATACATATTATTAAGTAAATGGGGTACATAGTAATAGATCAATAGGTAATATACTTTAAGGCGAGATCCATATAGAGGAAATTTATGGTTTCCTTTACTTTTGTGTTTCGGAAGTAAATTGCTCGCCAGTGGCTAGTATATGGGATTCTTTAGCCTCCATTTTGTTGCTGCTTTTTTTTATTAAAAAAAAAATTGAAGCTGTAAAGATTGATTCATTTTATTTTTATCATCGTTGTGGTTGCTTACTATAGTAGTTCGAAGGGTCATTTGTAGTGAAGTTAGAATTTAGTAATCTTTTGATAAATGTTGAAATTTTGCCTGTTGTTTGGGATGGGGAGTTTAAGGCCAGCCCGTGTCGATTATATTAATCTCGGGAAGTTGAGAGCTAAGTGGCTGTTGAAGAGTTGGTTTTTCCAATCATTTAATGGACTTTTAGTAACTAGTTTATTGCTGTTCATCGTTGTTGCTGTTCGTTCTGCATATTTTTATGTCCCCCCAACTTATCAGCCTGTAATTATCAATCTAGATAATGCTACATTGAGCGACATAAACATAGTACCTGAATGCGATGTTTTTTATGGAAGATGGGTGCAAGATGGAACTTATCCTCTGTATAATGGATCGCAATGTCCATTTACTGAGAGAGGATTTAACTGTTTAGCTAATGGTATGCGAGATCAAGAATATCTTAGGTGGAGATGGAAGCCTATGGATTGTGATATCTTGAGGTTTGATGTGAATGTGTTGTTGAAATGGCTTCGGGGAAAAAGGGTTGTTTTTGTTGGAGATTCATTGGGAAGGACTCAGTGGGAGTCAATGGTCTGCATGCTTATGACCGGAATCGAGGATCCGACAAGTGTGTACGAGATCAATGGGCGTAAGATTACCAGAGTGATTCGACATTTGGCAGTTCGTTTTAGTTCTTTCAATTTTACGGTGGAGTTTTATAGGTCAACTTTCCTAGTTAAGACCAGCCAGAGACCAAAAGGAGCTCCGAAATGGGTCAAAACGGTGCTTAATCTGGATTTGATGGATGATATTAGTGAGGAATGGGTTGATTCCGATGTTCTTATCTTCAATACTGGGCATTGGTGGAAACACACAAAGTTATTCGACTCGTAAGTTATACGTAATATTTCTTCTTTTTTTTTTCAAATTGTTTAAATATAGCAATCTTAGATTTGTTTTGTGTCCTTTTTCCCTTTTAGGCAATAAGAGATGATTGTAATGTTATGCATATATTGTTAATTGGATTCAAAACTCTATTGTGTTACTGATAAATGTAGCAATCTTAGAAAAGCTGGTTTTTTGTTTTTCTTTTTTGGGTAGATTTTCATGCTTTGCAATTTTTGGTTCTTTCTCATTTGTTGCTCCAGTGTTTTAAATAGAATTTATCTCTATTTGTTTGTTTGAGCAAAGTGAATTTCGATCTTGTTTATACAAATTGTTCACCTCTTAATCATATATTCCATCTGTCCCAAAATTATTGTCCAGTTTAAGATTTCACTTTTAGTACAATTTGACCTAAAAACGATAACCCAAACTGGCGGAGGGAGTACTGTTTATTTACAAGCCTTGTCAGTAAAGAAACTTCTGATGTGTAATTTGAATACAGGGGCTTGTATTTCCAGGTTGGAGATAGGTTGAAACTTGGAATGTCAATACCTGAGGCCTTTAACATGGCTCTTTCCACCTGGAAATCTTGGGTTGAGAGTAACATCAACACCAGCAGAACTCATGTACTTTTCCGGACTTTTGAATCCGACCATTGGGGGTAAGTTTAAACTCTTTCCCGTTGGCGAAGCTAATCAATTAAAATTCTTTTTCGGCATTTTAGCTGCCGATCATTTTATCTTCACCAACAACAATCATTAATCGTGGATGTATTGTTCTTACTCTTACCTTAACCATTAAGGAATTTGTGTACTGCTGGTGGGCTGTTTTGCTACCACATTTACATTATACTCCCTCCGAACTTTATTGTAAGGCATTTTAATTAGTCCTAAGTTTCACTTCTTATATTTTTTTTGATTGAAAAAAAAAACTATAAAAATACAGTATTTTGATTTTTTTTTTTTAAATCGAAAAAACATATTAGGTGAAACTTATGACAAATCAAAATGCCTTTAAGGACGGGAGAGAATATTAACTAATAGTTCTGGATAATGTGATCGACTTATACGATGCTTTCATGTGTTGTAGTACTGGATTTTGTGAAGTAACACGGCTGCCTATGTCAAGAGTTGAGGGCTTGGACCAGCACCCATATTCCGATGCCATACTCGATTTAACGAAGAACTTATCAGTACCCGTTACCGTGTTACATGTCACTCCGATGACGGCGTTTCGAAGTGATGCACACGTAGGAACTTGGGGTGATAACCCATCGATACGTGATTGTGCGCATTGGTGCTTACCCGGCGTGCCTGACATGTGGAATGAATTTATCTTCTCAAATCTGTTTTCATCACACATCAAATCTTGAACAAGATGGTCTTTATACAATCTATTTCTTTCTTTGTCTTGATCATCAATTTCCATGTGTTTGTAACTTTGTATTCCGCTGTTGCTTGAAAGGATACCTTGATTACGTACTAATCCTTCGATCTATGTATGCTTCCTCGAACAGGTCTGATCGACAACGTGCTTAGGATTTTTTCAGACACGAAAACGATGTCCGTTTGTTTCTTTTGAGTCACACAACAGAGTAATTAAGAGCTGTGCAAAAAGATCGTTCGAATTGTTTTTTTTTTTTTTTTCTGTATTGCGTAATGTAATCATACAGGAGGAGTAGCCACCTGAAGATCAACGAAAACACCTGGAAAAAATTAATAACGGAGCGTTTTTTTTTTTTTTTGGGGGGTTTCTTTTTCTAATGATGAATATGCTTTGTATACCACTTCAGGATCAACTTCGTTTTGATTAAGGTGCTTACTCTATTGTCGAAACCGTACAAAATGACAACCATATGTTAGTGGGACTCTAAAGTGTAACGATTAAGGCAGAAATAAATATTCGACATACATATGATCAATATGTTTTAGCACAAGCTGTACCTTTGATCTCACTTTTTCGGAAACAAGATTTGGTCGACATGTGTAATAGTTTAATATTTTAGACATTTGTCTCCTTTATTGTAAAAAAAAAAATATTTAACATATGTTAAATGTGTTTCTAACTTAATTATTAGTTTTTCTGTCCTAATTTTGTTGACACATGATAAAAACTAACATTAATAGAGCTTTCAAACCTTGATGTCATTCCCTTTTTCTTCAATAACGGAAGATCTAAATTATCAAATATTTTAGGAATTGCAAGTCTCTCTTCCAAGAAGAAGTAGCTGATGAAGTATTTTCCACTCCAATCAAAACCTCAAGACTCCCAAGTCTTAACATGAGTGCCACGTCTTTAGAAACTTTAAAGCATTGTATACCTATCAAGCAATTAATTGATTAAAAAAATAAAGAAAATCTTTCCTACAAATAGGTCGGCTTCCCAATGATCATCTCATCATTACTGCATTGCGGAAATCCAAATATTTACAAGAAGCAAATTCAATTCCACCAAATATGGCCTCTCTCAATAACTATAACTACCCATATTTTTCCCCTCCACCCCCAACCCACCCCATTACTCCACCACCACCTCCTCATGTCATTCCACTGCCACCGGCCCACCCGGTCAGCCCGCCACCACCACCGGTCCACCCGGTCTACCCATCACCGCCTCCGCCCCATTTTCCACCACCACATCCACACCCCATCATTCCACCACCACCCCATGTCCTCCCACCACCACCGCCATCACCACATCATCATACAATCATCATCATAATAGTGGTATCATGCGGCGGCCTTTTTCTCCTCGCATGCGCTTTCGCAGCCCTTTGTTGCTTCTTGAAGAAGAAGAAGAAGAAGAGCGTCGAGAAAACCGAGATCATCGACATTGATGAACATTTGAAGGTGAAGGAAGCCATTGTTCAAGGGCCTCATGGAACTAAAACTGTGGTCCTTTCAGTTGATGATGATGTTCATATTAATGAAATGGATATCATCAAGGAGAAAACTAAAAGTTTAAGTGGTGAACAACAGCAAAAGATGCATGCAATTGCGAAAAATGAAGAAATCACTCCAAGTGATCTTGAAGAAGGGACAGCTTCTTCTTCTGGTCTAAACCCTAATCATCATTCCAAGCAAAATTCCTGATGGAATTATGGTTCCATGAGAGATTACAAAAGCTTTCCAAAAAATCATTTCCAGAAGTTCTTGAATTTGACTTATCGTAATTCTTTAATTGTTTTTCAATTTGATGGCAGAATGTTTATCATTCTTGTAATTGATGTCAAATAAGCAACACCATGAGTTGACATTATTGTACTGTTACCTGACAAAAACCAATATTAATTCTTCCTATTATTAGAGTCTTCATAGTATAAATTTATCTATACTTATCTTGGTACAATTTATATGCAAGCATTACTATATTGAAACTATTTAAATTGATCTAATATATACTTATTACTGATTCTCATGCACGATAACACATCTTGGAAGATTAAATTCTTTTTTACTTGATGTCTAGCCAAAGAACCTGGGCTAAAATCTATCTTATTTATATTGAAAATGGCATTTCTGACTCAGTTATATCTTCATCTTTGGTGTTATAAACACTTTTAACTATATTTTCTTTATTTTTTACTAATTTATCAATATGACGATTATTCTCATCACGTCACTAACCTGTGAAGTAGAAACATGATAAGGATGTTCACTATATGAGGTAGAAGCACGACTAGGAATAAAATCTTTATCCTCTATTAGAGGTGAAATATAATGAGTTGAATATGGTCGAGATAATCCAGATCTATGAGATCTGTATTATTCAATCGGAATGGATTATTCCTCATTTATATATAAACATGTCCTTCAGGAGTTTGTTCAATAGAACTTACTTCTGTATTTGTTTGTGACTGGATATTACCAGTTCTTTCTATAACCCATTGTTCCGGAATAGGTATTTCATCCCATTTAATCGTCCTTCTAGTAGTAATCTTTGATTTATTGAAATTAGTTTTAATTAAAACTGTCTCATTTATATTTTTATCAATTAATTTACAATTGGGATTTAAAGTCATTAAAGGTTTATAATAAATTCTATAACATATACAAATCAATTCTGATCCAGTCATATAATCATATCATGAGTTTTAACATTCAAAGTCAATGCATTAAGAATATTGACATCACTTAAAGATAATGAAAAATTTGGGTAGACATTAAAATAAACTGGACTATATGCCAGGCTAGATTGTATTATTCCCATTAATGATTGTTTCCAATTCAAATTTCTAGCATCTCATAAACAAGCTATAAAGCTTTCTGGTAACCCTTCTAAAGTTAATGGTTTAAAAGCAATCTGTACCAAACTAATATGAATAAATTTATACAATTGACAATATCTATTAATATCATCTGATTGCAATAATTTGATCTCTATTTTCTCATTATCTAAAGAAATAGATTCTTCAGTTGTTTTAACAACTTGTTTCAAACCTAATTTTTCAAAAGTACCTAACTGATATACAGTCTTCAATTCAATCTTTGGAATTGTCCATTTATTAAGTTCTTCTAAATTTTCAGGAATATCATACTTCATAATTATTCTTAGATTTTATTAAGTTCAATCTACATCAACGTATTCCTTTTTTTTAGAGAAACAAAATCTTATTATAGGTGTTACACCTTAATTTCACGATTCCGTATAAGGGTTTGGAACATTAATTTCCGGAATATTGGTTTAAGGAACTTGGCAATGACTTGGAAATGTGGTTTTGTTCCTATGCGCCTATGGCGTGTATTTCAAAACATAAGTTTTACGAAATTAGAAAAAGGAACAAATCTATCTCCCACTCAAATAACAAGGACAAATTACAATACGCCATTTTTTACCTAAACTTTGAAGTTTTTTTTTTTTTTTTTTGGGTTAACAGTTTGAAGAATTTTAATGACTCTAATAATAGTAAAAGGAGTGCTTATATAACTTCTGAGTTCTGAACGGGAAAGAGAAAAATGGTTTTAAATTTTTTTTGCACAACGTTAAATATACTGTCTACATATAGAAAATGAATCCAATGTATGATATTCAATATTGTTATGAGGAAATTAATAAAAGCGATCACTGATATATATTTTCATTGGAAGTTTGTTATTGGTGCATCAATATGTTATTTCGCCCTAAAAAATTTTTGAAAAATACACATCTTTAAGAAGAACTATGAAAATTACGGCTCTCAATAAAAATTTTCTCTTTTTTAAGACATTTCATTTTTTTAGTACGAATCACACCCCAGTAAAGAGAGCCCAAAATTTACAACGGGAAAGAAAAGTAATTTACGAAAATGTAATGTTCATAATGTAAAACACGTCCATTTTGGGCTTTCTTTTTTTTTTTCTTTTTTTTTGGCGAGGATGAAACAAAAAATCAAGCATAATAAATCATAAACTTTGTTAGCTGAAAAAACAAAAATCTCTCGTAAAAAAATAAAGGACATTTTGATCTTTTGAAACTAAGCCCGCATTATTTTCAACTGAAAAGAAAAAAGAAAAAAAAAAAATAGTTACAACGCTCCAACATTCTTGCACCATATCCCTTACCCCGCGAGATTTGATAAATCAGGTAGCACTTCTTCTTCCAGTCATCCCAGAATTCCTGAAAGTTCCAAATATCTTGCCTAATATATATCCTTCACGATAAATGTAACGATAAATTAAACTTGATTTATTTCTTTTAGGCACAACAATAGGTCGGGGTAGACAAATACTAATGATTTAACTGGTCTTACAATATAACAGTGGAGTAGTCTTATGATCACCAACATTAATTAACTTGAATTGTTGTTGCAAACAGAGCTATAAATTATCCGTCCCACAAGAGTAGTCCAGATTGAGTTTTGAGTTTTGTATTATTTTCAGTACAAATTTAAAAACTCAATGTGGACTATTTTTTTTTTTTTTTTGGGACGAAGGTAGTAATTTTTGTCAATTGTTGAATTCATTTCCACTTAAGTTTAGGAAAATAATATGATGATAGAAATAATCATATTTTTTAAAAATGAGTCCGATACACAAGGAATAATGTTTATGTTTTGTTTTTTTTTTTTTAATATTTTGGTGCCCATACTTAATGGGGATAACATCAGATTTATTGATGACAAATAAAAGGAGCGCATATGCAATATGCCAATGGAGGTAAAAAGGTTGAGAAAATAAACGAACAAAATTTGTTTGTTGCTTTGACAACAAGAGATATATCATACTGATTATTTTAGTCTTGGAATCCCTACAAGCTAACCAAAAAAGGAAAAAAAAATAAAATAAAATGGACGAATAGAAAAGACGAATGTATTAATTCAAGTTAACAAATCTGCAAAAAAAAAAAAAAAAGAGCATCCGGTGATGAATGAAGTATAGCATTATAGAATTTCATAGCTAGCCTGGCATTTTTATTTGTAATTTTGTTTGGAGCATTTGCGTCCTCATTTTCCTGAGCATGTAAAGATCGCTTCTTGTCTTGTTTTGAAATATCTTATTCTATTTTTTTTAAATTTTTTTTTGTCTTAAAAACCATAGTCTATTATATTCCACACGGTTCAAAATTAGAATTATGTTCGTTGAACTATTTTTGTGATGTACAAACTCTTTTTCGGAATCACTGAGTACACTATTATGTCATTTCCAGTTCAATATCTTTTTGAATGACTAAAAAGTATTAACATGGTGCTCTCTATTCTATCTTACTAATCCAATTTTGAGATAAAAATTTAATTAACATTTGATGTATAGAATTTTTATAAGCTAAATATTGTGGTAAATCTGATAAAAAACTGTAATTTTTTTTTTTTTGAGAAAAAATACAAGGTTGTAATGGTACTTCCTTTTTTAGAATTTAATTTTTAAAATCTCGCTGTTAAAATGAGACGGAACCATATAACATTATCACTGTACCCTCGTAATTTGCTATTTCAACTTTGAACTTAATTAAACAAATCATGATTAACTCATTTTACTAGTACTCCATACAAAATCACAATCGTTGAAAGACTTATCATGAATATGCACGAGATTCCTCTTCTTCTCATTATTAGACTCTTTTCGTTTTATAAAAATAGTTCCTGTTGTAATGAATTGTACTTTACAAATAATTTACAAATAAATAACATACGAATTATAATATGTAAGATTTTTTTGAACGAGTCCAATTTGTCAAAATTGTAATTAGGTAGCTAAAACGTATAGTAAGCACTTTTCACGAAGTTTCCTACTTAAACCAGTATCGTATATAGTGTTGTAGTATATTCTAAGAATGCAATTTAAGAAATGGAAATATTTTTTGCCACAAGACAAATGTGGTACCCAATTGAAATTTATGTGTATTTTAAAAAAAAAGAAAAATAATAGAGCAAAATATCTTCAAATTTTGAGTCCCAAATTTTGATGGAACATGCGATTCCGTCGCTTTGTTTGTTAGGTTTTTTTTTATAGTATTTTCAAAATATTTAAATAATAATTGTCTCATTTCATTACTCTCTCCGTTCTAAAATTATTGTCTAATTTGAGATCTCACTTTTAGTATAATTTGAACTAGAAATGAAAATTCAAACTGGACAATAATTATGGGAGGGAAGGAGTATATCTTTTTATATTTTTAATACACTTTTTTATATATTTAATACAAAAAATACCTAAAAATACACACTAAAAAAACGAAACAAACTGTCCAAACTCCAAACTCCAAAGCAGTACCGTCCACCACCTTGGGATCATACGCCATAACACCAAAAGCCTTTTTTGTGTGTGCGAATACACACATTATCATCAAATACAAAAATGTGCATGTGAGTGCGTGTTTCCCAGTTCTACAGTCCACTCTCAACTTCTTACTGAATGAATGCTTCCACCCCTTCTCATCATTCATTGGTTAGTGCTAAATCTCCACCTCCCAATTCTCTTGCTTCTCGTCTCCCAACCAATTTTCCACGCACACACACACACACACACGCATTCTGTGACTGGTTTTGGTGGACTTTCCAAGTTTATTATAGGTGCAGATTCTTGAATTTGATTGGTGATTTTGCTGACCCTTTTCCTTGATTTGAAAAATTTTTGCGTTTTTCTGTTGTGGGTTGCAGAGTAAGTTTCAGGCACTCAATTGCATTCATACATTTGGCGCGAACACAACAGGCTTAGAGGTAGAGTTTTTTGGGAACTTGGCTTGATGATGGGTGGAGTTTATGGCAAGTGTAATATGCACTCGCTCTGCTTGATGAAATGTCAATGTGAATGCATTTTAATTGCATTATTTAACTTCATATGGTGTTGGGTGATTCTTGTAATTTTATGGGATTACATTGATTCTTGAACGATACTATCTTTAGTAGGGTAACACATAATTTTTTGGTACTAATACTGTGAAATGACTCCAGCAGCAGGGGATTTTTTTTAAAGGATAATATATGTGACTTTCTTTTCTCCAATTTTTTAATTTGTGTTTTCCCTATTTGTTTATTCGTTGAAGTTATCCAGAAAATGATATGATTCGGAGAACATTCAACTAGATGTATGGTTAGTATAATCTGTGGTAGATAACTGTTTTCCATATGGGGCATGGACTAGATGATACTTGATCTTTGATCAGTTATATGTGGGTCAAGTAGGAAGGAGGTAGGATGTTAGTTGCAATAGTTGGAAATGTGTTAAGTGTGAAGGTGGTAGGATGGTAATTGCCCAGAGTTGGAACTTGAGAATAACATTTGAAGTCATTGGACCAATACATTTCCACTTCTGGCAAAATCCTTACTTAGTCGTTCTCTGAGAAAAAAGAGGTTATTGAAGATGCAATATGGTTTGATCCTTGTTTCATGATTCCAATAGGTCTATAGCTTTGTTCATTAGTCAGTCAGATGGGTTAGGTGGAATTTTTAAGCATTTTCTATTTACTTTGGTCTCAGCGAGATAGTCAAACTTTGTTTGCTGGTTAATTTCTTGGCATATGCTATGTTACTTATCACGCATCAGATTTTGGACATTGTGTTTTTGGCTGCAATTCACGAATTGGGTTCAACTTTGTTCTGCTAGTATACTATACTTAGCTTTAGATTACTACTCATATAATTAGGCTCTAGGACATTATAGTTTTAAATAAGCCTGGCTTCAGTTTTGCCGTTACTTGATGCATTCTTTAAGTCCTGATTCCTAGCTTGCTGCATCTGCAGGTGTAACCGATATTATGTTCTCATTTGCCAGAGACAACAGATTGACATGATTTTGTGACTTATCCTGAGGTGTCAACATGGCTAAATCACTGGTGCCCCTGGATAAAGTTCCAACACAATTATACCGCTACACTAACCGCAGCATCTTCATCGGCCGATCACATAACTTAGAGCCTCTTCCCCGACATTACAAGTGCCCAGAACAGCCATTACATGCTGGAATTAATATAAAGAAATCATTCTTTATGGGCCCACCTACTTTCCGAGACTCGCATCGGCTAGTTTCTGCACTGGAATCAGATGCTTCTCAACCCACGCAACAGGTTCAGTATCCATCTTTCTTTTTACATCATACTATCTGAATTGTGGTATAATTCTTTCTTCTTTACATGTTGAATGCTAAATGCGGACACCAATTTACTACCACAGTGTGTCAGGAAGCAATCAGTAATCTAATAGTTCACTTTTTAACTTTTTCCCCGTCACATACCTGATTTTTGTTATATCTTCTGAATATGCAGGGATCTGAGAACATGAAGAGGGAAAAATTTGAGCAATGGGACTCACTAAGTGCAAAGTTTGCTGGAGCTTCGAATCTACCATTCTTGTTGTTGCAACTACCTCAGATCATACTAAATGCTCGCAATCTTTTGGCAGGGAACAATATGGCACTATTTGCTGTCCCATGGCTGGTATGGAAAATTTCTGTTGACATATAAGAACACGATTTGTGCTAAGTCCTATACATACTGAATTGTTTAGAATGCCGCAGACTAATTTTATACCAATATGCAGGGGATGTTCACTGGATTACTTGGAAACCTGTCTTTGCTGTCATACTTCATAAAGAAGAGGGAAACTGAGGTAGTGGTGGTGCAAACACTAGGAGTTGTATCCATATTTATTGTAATCACACAGCTGGCAATGGCTGGAGCTATGCCTCTTCCTCAATATGTTGCCACTTCCATAGTTGTTTTCTTGGGCCTTGTTTTGAATTTCATGAATTATTTCTATCTGCTAAACCCTGCAATCTGGCGTCTTTGGGAAGATTTCATTACCATTGCTGGCCTCTCAGCACTTCCCCAAGTAATGCTTCTCCACCTGAGCTGTTAATTTTTCTGCAGTTCTTTGTCCTTACTCCATATAGTCGACCCCACCTAGTGGGAAAAGGCTTTTTGTTGTTGTTGTTGTTTTCATCGTCATCGTCGTCTTTGTCCTTACTCTATACAATGAATTCCACAGGTGATGTGGTCGACTTTCATTCCTTATGTACCCAACAGTATTTTGCCTGGACTGACTGCTTTCATCATTGCCGTGCTAGCTGTTGTTACGGTAAGCTTTGAACTGCTGATACTCTACATGTGTTTCTTATATTACTCTTTCATCTTGTTCAGTGCTTAGTTTGGAGTTGGGACTTTTTTATGGCAAATATGATGAAGTAAATGTTTATAAATGATAATTCGATCTGATATGGGCCATTTGATGCATGAAAAATAGAGTAAATGTTTAGCTAGGTCGAAGCTAATTGTGATTTTCTTCTGATAAGAAGGAACTTCTTCCAAACTATTCCTTACTTTTCCTTTTATTTACTAAGGTTTTTGTTTAATAAAGACTGAAAATCATGGATCTATTTTATCCTTATAGTTGATAATGTATATAGGCACGGATGGGCAAACTCTCAGATAGAGCTACCAAAATTGTTGGTTCATTATCTGGTTGGACAGCCACACTTCTTTTTATGTGGATGCCGGTGGCACAAACGGTAATGTTCTGCCTCTTTGAAGAGAAAAGAAAACTGATCCAAACTACAAGCAAATAATGTTGAATAATCAGAAAGCTTGTAATATTCTTAACACATTGGTTGTTTTTTTCAGTGGACAAACCTCCTGAATCCTGATAATATCAAAGGTCTATCTGCAATCTCAATGTTGCTTGCAATGATAGGCAATGGACTGATGATTCCCCGTGCGCTCTTTACTCGAGATCTGATGTGGTAATGATATTCGTTCGATAAGTGCTTATGCAGATGACATGTTAATAGTTGTAACTGTTAATTTGTTGTCTTTGTTGCTAAAATTACACCTAATCCTCCCCACACCGAACACAAATCTTTCAATTCATATGGCTCTCTGGCCCTAAGATCCCGTCGTACCTTACTGTAGACCTAATAGGAAGCCTATCCTCTCTTCTTTGTTTGGACCGTTTCTCTCGTACATGAGAGATTGGGCAAGAAAGGATTCAGGTGTCCATGACATATCCCGTTCCTGATCGAGTGTCCTAAATATCACTTTTCTTTGGGGGCTCTGGAAACATAAATTCAAACACAGATGTCAGATGTTAAAGACCTGGTCTATCTGAACCAATATTCTTGGCTATCTCTGTTCTTTTATTAGAAAAGTACTTGGCAGTTGAATGCCTTTATCTCTGATTAACAGTATCATGCTAACATTATTTGGTTTCAGGTTTACGGGGTCAAGTTGGGCATGCGTCTTCTATGGATGGGGCAACCTGCTCTGCTTGTACTGGTAACCTTACTAACTCTTTCCTAGAAGAGTTTTTCGTTAGCAACCTTCTCTGCTTGTACTTGTACTTATCATTATCTGTTTTGTTTCAGTTTCAAGTGCATTGGCAAGGAGTTCTTCTGGAGTGCCACAGCAGGCTTTGTAGCTTGGATAGGTAGCTCTCTTCTGAGTTTTTCATCTTATGAGATTGATTTTCCAAGTCGCTGATTCTGTAGAATTGATGACAGACACTTGTAGACTTCGTTCTGCAATTATTTGTGTCACTATCTCTTGACTATACTTTGCTCTTTGAACAGGAATCACATTATGGAGGGATGCTGAAGTGTATGGTCACTCTTCTCCCTTGACATCTTTGAAGGAACTGGTTTCGGGACATTAACAGTTCGCTTCTCCACATCATCCACCATGTTGCTTGCTGCTTTCAAAGATGAGGCTGAAATGCTATGCCCCTGAATATCAAGAATGCTATAGGACTTTGTAAGAGTTTCCATTATGATTTGTGAACATACCAGGGTCAATAATATAAACATAATTGTGAAATGTAAATTCTCTGTGTACTGCTTTAAGCTCATAAAGTCCACGTTATGTAATGATCCGATTCACTCTTCCTTAGTAATAAGCATTACCATTTAATATTTCGTGCTGAAACTGAAAATCATGTGGAAGACTACTGTTATTCCATTATCACATCTTTAACAGAAAATCTTCATTGACATAATTCCATATCGTTTGAAGTTGTTGCGAGTTTTAACAATTGCTTGCTATAACATGTGTAGAGAGCTCACTAAATGCATCAAGTCCTACTCTATCGACTCAGCCTCTCAGGCTAAGCTGCCTAAGCTGGTGCACTAGAATTTAGTTTGACGACTTCCCAGAATCTGTAGTTTCCAGACTGCTGAGATGTAGTTTTCCCACTTCCACACGTGCAGGAATTTGATAGAGTCGGCTTCTTTAAGCTTGAGGGTGATCGTAATGCGCCATTGTCAAGAGCCTTTCCAGAGAATGAGATCTGTTTGTAATTTGTAGTGATCTGCATGCAGAAACCGAACGGACATCATGGAAGAATCTGCTGGTTCAAAATATATGCATTATCATCTTATTTGTCTCCTTCCTCAATGGTAATTACAGCAGTAAATGACCTATCCAACTGATCATATCCTGTTGGCAAAAGGAAGATAGAAACTAGTTACATTAGGATGCCTCAACTCCTTCAGAATGAATATTTCCAAATTCTCTAGGTCAGAAAGAGATGATGGGATGGACTCGATGTCCTCAAAAACTGCTACAGGACCTCGGATCAAGTAGCAATTTTATTGCGTTCCCCAAAGAGCTAGCCATACTTATCGAATCCATACCCAACACTCCAAGATGGCAAGATGTCAGAGATGATGGATATCCTAAGGGCATCTTGATTTTTATCAGTGGTGGCAGAGCGCATCGGAGATCAGTATGATCAGAGTTCACTCACTTGGATTCTTGAAATTTGATTCTTTATCTGTTTCTTTTCGCCCTCCCTTCCCCACAAACAAAGAACGGAATAAGGTGCGATAAATTGGAGCATGATTACCTTCAAGATCCACATGAGTAAACCCCAAGTATTAACATTTATAAACTTTTATTCAAAATCCCATTCGTTTATTCAAAATCAAATTTGGGTCTCAAGTATTAACATTGAACTAGAATGGTTCCAAACAATAATCAAACCCTAGCAGCCACCACTTTTCCCCAACTCCAAAAGAATATATTTCTTCCCCGCATCTTCTCATCATGGGAGGATGGGAAAATAAACTAGTTTAATCGGCTTTCATTTTTGTTCTTTGTCGTTTAATAAGTGAGTTTATTCTCACAAATTAGTTCCTTCAATAAATTATTTAGATAATCTGTTGAGAGGGTGGGGTTTTCTCGTTCGTAGTATTTCCTTGTTTGCGGTGTTTTTTCAGTAGAATGATAGGTTGGTTCGTTTTGCAGTGTTCGTAGCGGCGTTAAAAATGTTCGCAACGTTGCATATACCCCACAAAAAATCAGCTACCGGATATTTAATATTTAGATATGTGGGTTGGAGCTTTCAACAGAATTTTAGAAACATATTCGACATCAGATTTATACTCTGGTACGTGATATGTACTTCAATTATATTGGTAGGTCTGTATAGGTTTATCCACGGTAAATACAACAAAGTGATAAATTGTAAGTTGTGATTAACTGTTTCTTTGTATTATTTAATCGCAGTTTGACGACTTCAAGTAAACGAATGAAAATACTATTTTATTTTTTTTAAAAAAAAAGGAATGGTTCCGAACATTATGATTACTAATTTTTTGGTCTCATACTACTATCCCGAGACCTTTTCCGATATGTAGGCCTTGATCCAAGAGTATTTTTGTCATATTGAATATTTTTAGATTTCTGAAAACTAAAAGATTCTTAATGCAGTAGTTAAAATAATCATTTGTTATTAATAAATTAATTAATATATTCAGAAAATAGTAAAATTTTAATAAAATTCAAGCTTGAAAATATTTTTGAAATACAATATACAGTACCTTTTATCCTTGGCTTGGCCGAAGTAAATTTTTTACCAGTTACCCTTTGTAATGGGACCACTTTAGTTCTTACTATAAACTGCTAACAGTAAACAAAAAATTATAATTAAAAATTAAAAAATCAAAATTATATACCCATCGACCTGACTATCACTTGGAGTTAGTCTTAAAAGTTCCAAAGAAATTGATCACAAATTTCTTTTTACCCTTCTCTGTCGCCTTCCTCAATCCTTATCCCGCAGCTAAGTCATCTTCCCCTCGTTGCAAAATCATCTTCTGAAGGGTTATAGGTGACGATGTGGGATTGCGGGGGAGGAGAGGGATTAGAGATGATTGTGATGGCAGCAGGTTGGATAAGCTAGCAAAGACAATTGATCAGGGTGTTTCAGATTAATGACCTTGAAAGAACCACTTGTGGACACCCATAATTCTAAATTTTTTTATTGTAGAAGCAAATACCCTTTCCACAATGCTATTATGTAGAAATCTTAATAAAATAAATTAGAAAACTGCATACGAGGAATGCGGTTTCTCTTAATTTATTTTTAAAAAAAATAAAGGCCAAAATTGGCAGAAAATTTGATCTTGAATGAAAAATTAATAAACTAAAACCGCATAACATAAATGCGGATATAACAATTAAATTTTTTTAAAAAATCATAAGGCGACAAATTTTAAGTGTTCAAATAAAAAAAAATCGCATATTTTGTTTGCGGAAAACAAAACCGCATTCCTCTTATGCGGTTTTAAATCTTATCCAGAAAATTTGAAGCTCTAGCGGTAACGACACGTGGCGTATGAACCTTTTCTTGTTTGTGTAATGTTGTTGAACATTCGTTGGTGCCTGTTTAATAGTCTGATCGTTTGGTATTATATGTGTTAAAAGTAACCTTAAAAAAGAAGAAATGACTCGCTCAAAACCGCATAGTTCAGATGTGGTTTCTTTCATGGACGAGATTAAGCCACGTGGCTCAATCTGGTGGCGAAGTTTGAATCGGTCAATACCGCATAGAAGGAATGTAGTTTTACTTTAACTTTTTAAGTTTTGACACATTAAAATGACTAAATTCTAAAATGACCTCTATTAAATTACAAAATAGACACCCTAATATTTATAAAGTGACACCCTTTCACTTCTTTTCGTATTTGAACCACGTGGCAATGAAAATTTTTCATTTAAACCCTTAATAATAATTTTTCAATTTTAATTTCAATCCAAATAGGATGTTATTGATAATGTTTGTTCTGTTTATACTTAGTTGATTTAATTTATTATCTTTACATATATACTACTTAGTTTTCACTTATATGGAATCTTTTAATAATCAAATTTAAACAGTTACATACTCTATATAAACATGTCCTTCAGGAGTTTGTTCAATAGAACTTATATCTGTATTTGTTTGTGACTGGATATTACCAGTTCTTTCTATAACCCATTGTTCCGGAACACGTATTTCATCCCATTTAATTGTCCTTCTAGTAGTAATCTTTGATTTATTGAAATTAGTTTCAATTAAAACGGTCTCATTTATATTTTTATCAATTAATTTACAATTGGGATTCAAAGTCATCAAAGGTTTAGAATAAATTCTATAACAATTACATACTCTATTTTGTATATAACTAAGTATTACATTAGTAAAAAGATCAAATTTGTTCAATAACAGATAATTGTAAGTAAAACTAAGTATTACTAAGTAATACATATGAAAACAGAATAAATTTGAACAATTACATACTCTATTTTGTGTATAACTAAGTGTTACATTAGTAAAAAGATCAAATTTGTACAATAACATACCCTTTTTTTGGTATAAATAAGTATTACTAATTAAGTATTACATGTGTAAACAGAATAAATTTGAACAACTACTTACTCTATTTTGTGTATAACTAAGTATTACATTAGTAAAAAGATCAAATTTGTTCAATAACAGACACTTTTTAAGTATAACCAATTATTACGAAGTATTAAATGTGAAAAAGAACAAATTTGAACAATTACAGATTCTATTTATGTATAACTAAAATTTACATTAGTAAAAAGATCAAATTTATTCAGTAACAGGCACTTTTTAAGTATAAATAATTATTACTAAGTATTATATGTGAAAACAAAACAAATTTGAACATTACATACTCTATTTTGTGTATAACTAAGTATTACATTAATAAAAAAAATCAAATTTTTTCAATAACAGATACTTTTTAAGTATAACTAAGTATTACTAATTATTATTTGTGAAAAAGAAGAAATTTGAACAATTTCAGTTTCTGTTTATGTATAACTAAGTATTATATTAGGAAAAAAATAAATTTGTTCAATAACAGACACTTTTTAAGTATAACTTAGTATTACTAAGTATTACATGTGAAAAAGAATAAATTTGAACAATTACAAATTCTGTTTATGTATAACTAAGTATTATATTAGTAAATAGATCAAATTTTTGCAATAACAGACACTTTTTAAGTATAACTAAGTATTACACGTGAAAACCGAACAAATTTGAACAATTACATACTCTATTTTGTGTATAACTAAGTATTACGTCAGTAAAAAGATTAAATTTGTTCAATAACAGACGCTTTCTAAGTATAACTAAGTATTTCTAAGTATTACATGTGAAAATAGAATAAATTTGAACTATTACATACACTATTTTGTGTATAACTAAGTATTACATTAGTAAAAAGATCAAATTTGTTCAATAACAGACACTTTTTAAGTATAACTAAGTCTTACATGTGAAAAAGAATAAATTTGAACAATTACAGATTATGTTTATGTATAACTAAGTATTATATTAGTAAAAAGATTAAATTTGTTCAATAACCGACACTTTTTAAGTATAACCAAGTGTTACATGTGAAAACAGAACGAATTTGAACAATTACAGATTTGAGTAAATTTGTATATATATAATGAATTGCTTTAAGTTATTAGATGTGTCAATACAGCTTAAATGGTTAGTTAGTTACTCCTTTATGTTTAACTTTAAGGTGTCGGGTTCGAAACACTTCGGCAACTTTTTTTTTTTGTATAATTAAGTACTATTTGCATATATATAGATTCAATGCTTTGACTTATTTGATGTGCCAATCCGGCTTAAATGGTTAGTTAGTTACTCCTTTATATTCAACTTGAAAGTGCTGGGTTCGAAACTCTCTGGCATCAAATTTTTTTTTTTTTTTTGATAATTAAGTACTATTTGTATACATATAAATTTAAATGTTTTGACTTATCAGATGTGTCAAACTGGTTTAAATGGTTAGTTACTTACTCCCTTATGTTTAAGGTGCTAGGTTCGAAATTGATTGGTAATGTTTTTTCGCAACAATTTATTTTGGTCGAATTTTTTATCTAAGAACATTGTTTTTGGTCGAATTTTTTATCTAAGAAAACCGCATATCAGGAATGCAGTTTGACCGGATAATTACCCTTATCACCATCACTTTCATCCTGTTTGACCGAATAATTACCCTTATCACCATCATAATTTTATGAAAACTTACTTATTTTTCCTTATTTATGGGTTTAGATTAATTATTTTTTCTTGAAATTAATATATTTAGTGCATCCTTTTTCAGTTACTCTCTTTTATTTTTTTTCATGTATCCTCAACATTTTAAGTTTTTTAAATATTTATTATCCTTTTAATTTAATTCTTAAATTTCGATATCAATTTTTTTTAATATTTATAATCGCAATAATCAATTTATAAACTAAAATGTGCATAACATATTATAATATATAGCAATAAAATATTTTGGCTCACAAAATAATTAATAATTTATTATTTAGTAATTTTCTCACAAATTTACTAAATCCGCATGGAAAATTTTGTAACATCAAATATTCAAATCGGCATTACAACATTGCGGTAATACAGAAAACTACAACCGTGTATTACGGTTATAGTATTTCCACATACCTTGTTTGCGGTGTTTTTTTATTAAGTTACTCCTTTAGTAGAGTTAAACGTAATTAATTATTTTATTTTAATTAATGCATCAAAGAACACCGCATTGACGCTTTGGGGTTTAATAAAACCGCATTCGTTGGATACTCGTTGGATACGGTTATTTTTTATTTCGCATTCCTCATACGCGGTTTTGTTATAAAACCGCATATATGGATTGCGGG